GCCAAGCGCATTGGGAAAGCTTACGTTTCATTCCTTCATCCGGTGTCAACCATGCGATGGCTGGCCACGGTGCTGACAGGCGGAACGCTGGATTTCACATCTCACTTGGTTGCCCTTGCTACTCGCGGGAGCTTTGCTGGAAGATCCCATGAGTGTTTTTTAGGCGATTCTGGTCGGGGCCCGCTGGTGAAAAGTCAAAGAGACTCCAGGTGTGGTCCTTATTGTTTTTGTGAAGAATTCGGAGATAATCTCTAAATATGCTGAATCAGTTGAGTCGGCTTCCTATGCCGATGCCACTTCAGCTTAGACTTCTTCGAGAAGTCTCTACTAGTCTATTACAGTTGCTTGTTTGACAGTGCATGTTGTCTTTAATTGCATTTTGATTTCAAGTGACTTGATCAATGTATTAATTTGCTTCTGAATGAAGAGACAACTATCCCCAACAAAGACACACCCACAGAGGCTGCATATCCTTCGTGAATCCATGATACGGCAGGGTTGGCAATGTTGGCGCATAGAGCCTACGCTTGGGTGCAGGTCTGTTTTTTTTGGTACCGTCAAATGCACACACACACACACACACACGATTGTGCAAGAAGAAAACATGTCATCGAAATCAAAAGGAGAAGACCGTGTCCCTTTTCCGTGCCACTGAAGTATGATGGGTTTCTTTGTCACGCCCATGCCTCCCTGAGGCTGGGCGGCCTCCACAGATCCCCAGGCAGATGAGCCCAAAACTCATGCGGGCGGCCTTTGCCATTGCTGATGTATTGAGGGGTATTTTCCATGACCGGGAAGGGGGGGGGGTTGAGCCTTTTGTCCTTATAACTTATGACTTGTGCCATCTATCCCTTCCACGATCATATTTTTGTCAAGGTGGCCCTGCGGAGCGACGTGGAGAGGGTGTTGCACAGCTATTGGCGAGGCCGAGAGGGTTACAAAATTTCAGCTCCTTGGCAGACACGGACCCGGAATTGGGAAATTGGAGCTCTTGGACAGATGCTCACATTCCTTCAATCGCCTGCATTCTGACACCACCCCCGCTGCGCTGGTGCTGTATTGGCTGTTGCCGGAGGCAGCCATAGAACCGTGGTAGGCTGTGAACAACTCTCTAATGCTCAGCAGCTCTATTTGTGAGGAGAACATTCGATCGGGGCGGCAACCTGCAACCGAGTTCGGGTGTCTCTTCAAAGTCATCATGTGCGAGTATTTCGGGGGTGGGTCACATCTGATTCACACTGCAATCCAGGCCGTGCATGGCGGTTTTTTCGGTTTGAGATTGTTCTGGTGGTGAATTGTGAAGAGTGTTTCTTTTGATTCAGGATGGCCCATGCGCATGCTTCCAGCCCTTTTCGACAAACACATTCCGGGACCAGAGCCTTTGGGTGATCTTAGGCTTTTCCCATGAACCCCTAAGATGGGTTGTCTACCCCTTTAAAGCACTTGGTGCGACAATTGTTTTCTTTGTGCAGATTGCAGAAGTGACTCTGCTCTGAGTCAACTTGGGGTGCATGCACGGCTGTCCGAGAATGCCCGCTACGTTGCTGTAGTTTCGGGCAACGCCCAACAGAGCAGAGCTTGCGTTTCATGTCGTTTTGAAGAGAAACTCGGGGTGACCCACCTATTCTGGAGATTCACGAAGTCCGCTGAGTACTTTGTGGAGAGGTCCCTGTAAAGAATCCGTTGACCAGTGAATCCACTGAGGCCAAAGAGGAGAAGCGCCTGAATCGTGGCGTTGATGCCGGCACTTACGGGGAGCTGGCGCCTGAAGGCGCAGCTCGGCATGGATTGGGTGCTGGTTGGGTCTGTGTCGGGTAATATGGGAGTAGGTGATTTGCTTACAGCATGTACGCAGCAAAACATTACATGGGTGTTCACCTCGCCTTGGATCGAGTGAAAAGAGCCCGCGGCCTTGCACGGCGGGGCGCTGCTCCTGGTCCAAGGGATGAAAACAGGCCCTGGGACCTTATCACCAAGGTGGCCAAGGCGGGGAGGCAGCGCTGCAAGCCCGAAAGAGCGATGCGCTGCATCAAGAACTTCAAGAGGAAGGAACAAACCGGTACATCTGTTTGAGCCAGTCTAGGTCATTGCGGACAAAGCCGAATTGAGGTTGAACAGTTGTTAAGGGGATGTGTGGGTAAACGTGTTTGAGATGGCGTCGTCTCTTGGCATTCGTTTGATGTTTCACTGTTTAAACGGAGATTGGACCTGGCGAGGGGAAAAGGCGACGCCTGTGCCTATCATATTTAGCTTCCGAAATTTCAGACTTGCAGGCGCGCGTCTGCTTTGCCAGATGCAGGCAGCATTGCCAGAGCAAGGTTTTGCGAGCGCATGCCTGCACGAGAGGACGGACAGCCACCGTTGAGCAACCACGCACGCAGGATCCAACTTTGTCACCATTTAAACTGGCAATGCTGGTGCGTCATTTCTTGTTGGTTGAGGACAGCTCTAGAGGTTTTCTGGTTCTCTTGGCCAAGTGGCAAGTGGAGAGGCTTAAGTTCATGAGGAAGTTGCCAAACTCGGTAGCTTGTTTCCTCGCTTTCGCGGTCAAGTTACCTGACATTCAGAAAAACATATTCTACTCCTCTGACTCGCCTTGCCCTGCCCTTTGCCCTGCCCCAGCCTGGCACCTGAAGCTACAGGATGTGAGTGCGTTTAGAGCTGACATCATTTCTAGCCAGCTTGGGCGCAGGCCAATTGCCGTGAGCTGAATTTCCGACGACCGTTTTTGAACAAGGTTTGTTTCTGGGCCCTTTGGGAATCTAGACCAGAATGAGGCCACTGAACGGAGACGCTTTGGCACAAGCCCAGGCACGACTCTTGGCGGAGGAATGGGGCCTTTGCTCTTCTACAGAGTCGGTCTTTGCAGACCTTGGCAGCGGAGTTGGCAAGCTGGTAGCATCATGGCCGGCTCTTCTTCCGGGTTCCCTCAATTTTTTTGGAGGCTTGGGCTTGGCTGGTGTTTGGGCAGGGAATCCGCGTACCATCTTTTCTCGTTTGGCTTTTGCTCTGTCGGTGCAAGCCTCGCACGCTATGTGTTCTTTTTTCTTTTGAGCTGTCCGGTGTACATGTCTCATAAAAAAGAAGAAGAACAAACAAAAACAAAACAAAAATCAACTTTGGGATCTGTACGGTCGGTCCTGTTTGGCATGTGGAGCAAGCCTAGTGCCCGGGCACGCTAGCACGCATAAGACTGTGTACATCCGCCAGTGTTTTGCAGCATGTGTTCTTTCCAACAGATTCTATGTTTGTCAGTCCAACAACCAAACGCATCGGTCACTTTTCCAGATCACTACACCTCACGAGCGCTTGTCCCTCACTGTCGGCACAGCACCAGCAAAACTGCCATGCCAGAGTCTTTCCCAGCCAAGTTTCAGCCTCGTGGTCAATTGAGCAAGTGCGTCCTGTTGCTCATGATCCAATCGGTTTTCGTTTGGTTGTTTATATGTGCTGGTCTTGCATGCCTTGAATGTCTTCATGCTGCAAGTAGCTCATTGACATCAATGCGCATCCGTGGGCTTGAATGGCCGATCTAGAAGTGCTTTTTCAACACACCTGGACCATCAAATGGGCAGCCACACTCTTCCCTGAAGGAACGCCTGATGTTTTCAGCTATGACAGGAAGCAGGTTTCGGAGGCAGACACTTGGAGAACTTTTTAGCGCCAGGCTTTTTAGTTTATTGAAGATAGTGTAGTTGCATTTCCTGTCCGGAAGTCTTGGGAAAACTGGAAAGTGGTCCATGGCTGCCTTGGTGCAGCGCGCGTTGGCCAGCGCAATCGAAAGCGCCACTTACCTAAAAGCGGCAGTTCTTTTGGCCTTGCATGCTGTCTTGCAGTTTCCTTCCTCCCAATGTAGCGCCGTGCTCTGCGCCGTTGTCTCCATCTGCGCTGTGGGCGTGTCTGGTTGTAATTGTTCCGAAAGGAATCCAAAGGGAAACGGGCCCCATTCCGTTTGGAAACAAGTGGCCCCCAAAGGCTGGTGGACCCACATCCGTTTTTTGTTTGTTTTTGTTTAATAATAAATCCTGAAGATTTCACGTTTTGAAGTGGTTTAGGCTACGCGAGGGAGAGTGGCTATTTGGTTTGGATCTCTGCACGTTAGCCGGATAGCTCAGAAAGCGAGGCCTAGATTCTTTAAAACAGAACTGCTTCAATCTGCGGAGGCGTAGGGCTGCATGTAGGCTCCGCGTAGTTTGAGTACTACACTTGAAATACGATCTTAGAGCTGAAGCTGCCAATGTGAATGTTATTGCAGTTAAACTGAAGCCACTGCTACATCCACAAGGTGCCCTACTCATAAACCATCCAGTTTTGAGAGGTTGCTTTAAGGTGACGCTGGTGGGGGAGAGAAGCCCTGGATGTGGGTGGCCTTTTCCATAACGTGCGAGATGTTTAACAGTAAATTTAAAGGGATGCAATGAACACAATTTCCGGGTCGCTTCCAACCATGGGTATGAATGTAGGGCATTCGTGGGGCCATTGTTCGACAAACCCCTGCCCAGGGCTGCTCTTTTGTGACCACCTGGGTAGACTCAAACCCAGCACCCTCCGGTTTTGGGGGAATCAAGCGCCCCTGGGGTTGAGTCTGCCTTTGGGGGATTTAATCACCCCCGAGTGTAAGTCTGTTCTTGTGGGTACTCCAAAAAAAACCGGAACCCATTGGGCCATGGGTCAAAATGTTCTAAAATGGGTGGTGAATTCACCAATCCCCCAAAAATGGGGTCCAACACGGTTTTGACCACAGCCATTCCCTTTCCGAGGCACAGGCGTACCTGGAGTGGCCGGTCCTGCGCAGCCGTGGCGTGGAGCTCTCGGTCTCCAGGCACCGCCGGGCCCTTGAGGCCTGGGAGGCGCTGCTGCTCAGCGAGGAGGCTCGGCGCTCGTTTCGTGCGCGCCGGCAAGAAGGGCAAGGCCTTTCAAAATGGGTATGGATCAAAATTCAGCCACGGGAATTGGACCGCAGATTTTAGTCATGGCTTCCATTTGCCAGGGCTCCATTT